AGCTCCCATTGGCCACAGTTCCTGGCCAATGGGAGCTGTGGGTGGCCCCTGCAGGCAGCGGCATGTGGAGACCCCCTGACCTCAGCCTAGGAGCTGCTGCCGGCGGGGTGTGGGTGCCAGTTGCTTTGGGAGCTGCAACACCCCCCCTCCCACACTCCAATGCCCAGCCCAGAGCCTGCACCCCAACTTCCTCCCAGAGCCCTCACCCCTCCTCCCACACTCCAACCCTCTGCCCCAGCACAGACTGCACCCAGCACCAAAACTTCCTCCCAAAGCCTGCACCCTCTCCTGCACCTCACACCCCTGCCCCAATCAAGGTACCTCACTTTATTTTCATTTACTTCCCAATACTTATCATATAGGAGGAGGATGAAGGGGGGGGGGGGGAAAAGAAAAAAAGGGGGGGAGGAAAGAGGGGGTTTTTTTTCTTGGGGGGGCCCGGGGGCCCCCCCCCCCCCCCCCCCAAAAAAAAAGTTGCTCACAGGGCCCCACTAACTCTAAATCCACCACTGCCCTACAGTTTTCCTTATTCTCTCAGCCTCTGGTGTTGGAGGATGTTGGGGGGTAGGGTGCAGAAGGTCCCTGGGTAGAAGAGCAAGAAAGGGCTAGGATGGTCATGGATGCAGCAAGTTTCCTTCCAGGTCAAGTGGGAGAGATTCCTTTTGGTTGTAAGTCTCAGCAGAGGTCAAGGAACCAGTAGTAGTACTCTGATACCTCACCCTCTATTGAGGGGGATAGGACTCCAGCTGCTCCTAAAGCTGGAAGTTACTTGGAAGCTAGTATATAGTTTGCTGGGGACACTCAGGGCTTTGGCAGGATTTAATTGGTTTTATTATGCCACAGGTTGGTGTGGTATAGACACTTGGAGGCTGAGGTCCAAAAGCCTGCTGGTTCACATAACGTTCTATCTGTATATGTGCTGCACAGTACAATTCCCCCAACACCGAGAACTGATGACTCTGGATAGAAAGAGGAGAGGAGACTAAAATTGCCTAGCTAAGTTTGTTTAGTCTAGCAAAATGATGGCTGAGAGAATATGATTGCTCTCTTTCTAACTCCCTCTCATTCTGACACACCCTTAAACACCTAGGAGGGAAAAGAGATCTTGCTAAAGGACAATGATGGCACAAGAATAAATGGCTATAAAGTGGCCATGAATAAACTTAGGCTGGAAATTAGAAGAGAGCTTCTAATCATCAGAGAAGTGATGTTCTGGAACAGTTTTCCAATAGGAGTGGGGGGAGGAGGCAAACAATCTAACTAGCTATCAAATGGCGCTTGATACATTTATGAATGGGATATGACAGGTTGCCTGTGATAGCTGAGGATTGGACTAAATGATCATGGAGGTCTGTTCCAGTCCTATGTAGACAACCTACATGATGCAGAGTCCTATCACAGAAAAATGGACTTGTGCAAATCACTCAGTCTCTAGGACACCATCTCTAAGACAACAAAGGAAAAGACTTGGACAGCATCAGAAATTGAAATCGCTTCCCTGCTGCATAGGAAGCAGCAACTGGGTTGATGGGAGACAAGGTATGAAGACTCCTGTACCTAAGAATCTCAAGATGGCCCATATTACTGCTAACTGGAATTCTGCACTGAGTTCATTCTATCATAACTAACAAAAAGCAGCCAAGAGATCTCTTTAAATACAACTGAGGAATATTTTTCTATGTAGCTTACAAAATGAATCTGCCTCCCTTTAGAGAGGTAAAGACTAGGGTGCACTATTAGGTATGGAAGGAAGAGGCACCACCCCAATTAACTTGCCCAGGATCTACACACCCACACAAGCAAATCATGCTTGTGGGATGGTTTTATCTGTGTGTATGTTTACAGTTTCAAAGGATCTTCATTAGGAATTGTATTGTGCCACATCTTAAGGCTGTCTGGTAGATTCAGGTGGGCCAAGTTATTACTAGAATTCCAAATTTGGCTGTGGTGCTGAGCTCTCTAACTTGTTTCCATTACTTAACCTTTGGTGTGGTCCCTGAAAGACTCCAGGTAAGAATCCTCCTTTTTCCTAAATCAAACAGAGCTCAGTGAATGACCTAACTGACTCTGAGGTTTATTTGGTATGTTAAGGGTTCTGACCAGATTATAGTTGTGATTCAGGACTACAAAAGAAGGGCTGTGATGGCTAAATCAGCTTTCAGACTATTACCAGTTCATTCCAGGGGCTTGGATTTATCTGGCTTTGCCCTGGATGGGCATTTGTTATGACAAGCTAATGCCAATAGGGATTTCTTGTGCAGCCTCTGAAAGGCTCCAGTTCATCTCACATCTAGACTGGGATGTTTTTGTGGGAGGTGATCTGTTGACTGGAAGCTCATCACCTTAATGGTTCAGGACAAAGTGAGGCAATGTTGAATCACTTTCAGCAGCACGTATCATGTTAGGGTTTCTGTTTGGCTTTGGAAGAATGAGGATCCTGCCCCCAGATTCAAACCTCTACTACAGTATTTCTTTTAAAATCCAGGTGAGGCACACATCTTGTGAAAGAAAATGAGCATACTGCAGGAGTTTGGAGAGATGAAAGTAGACCGCCAAGGTAACGGAGTACTGACCTTTGCTTGTTAGGCCATGGCTGAACATGATTCAGGGCCTTACTTCCATTACCATGTTAAGGTTACTAGCGATATGCAGCTATCAGAGGGGTAGCCGTGTTAGTCTGGATCTGTAAAAACCAACAGAGTCCTGTGGCACCTTAAAGACTAACAGATGTATTGGAGCATAAGCTTTCATGGGTGAATACCCACTTCGTCAGACGCATGTAATGGAAATTTCCAGAGGCAGGTATAAATATGCAGGCAAGAATCAGTCTGGAGATTACGAGACTGTGAATGGCTAGCCGACTACAAAAGCAGTTACTCCTCCCTTGGTGTTCACACCTCAGCTGCTAGAAGAAGACCTCACCCTCCCTGATTGAACTAACCTCGTTATCTCCAGACTGATTCTTGCCTGCATATTTATACCTGCCTCTGGAAATTTCCATTACATGCGTCTGACAAAGTGGGTATTCATCCACGAAAGCTTATGCTCCAATACATCTGTTAGTCTTTAAGGTGCCACAAGACTCTTTGTTGCTTTTTAGGGATATGCAGAAAGACTTCTCCATCTGAGAGGTGACACTTTCTAACAATTTACTGGTTTGTCATCTTAGCACTCCAAATAGGAGTGGCCTTCAGATCTACAACTGTACTATGCATCTGGGGGGTTGAGTGCTTCATTATCAGGGGGTGGGATTGTTTTTGTTCTGTTTTGTTGTTCCATAACACATTTTGAATATAGTCTCTCTAGTATGACAAAATGCATTGCCAGTTTCTTTCTCTCTCTTATCCTTGATTCTAGGAATATGGTGTTTGACTGGCTGCTGAAGCAGACAGATTCCCATAGTCATGGCAGGAATACTGAGAAGTTTGGGTCTCTCTATGGTCTGACCTCTTCCTGTGGATCACATCCTGTAATTTATAGCCCACATAGAGGCTCAAGGGCTGGATTGTTTCAACAGCAGCATCTTATTTGCCAGCAGCATCCTCTGTTTCCCAGACAGCTAGGTATGGGGAATCTTGCAAAGAGGTTATCTGAAGAATGGGCTACATCAGATCCTCTCTCAAAAGATTCATTGCCTTCTCATTATAAAACAGTATGAGAACTTGGAAGTATATCGGGATGGCTACAGCATCAGAGGAGTGGAGAGCCTCTTGTTCCACACAGTATTTACAGCAGCCATCTGACATCTTTGGGGTTTGAAACTTGGCAATGGGACCAGCTGGATGGCTTGCCTGGAACCTTGTTGCCCAACAACCATTAGTTGGGGATCTGCCCCTTCTTTCATCACCATCCCAAAAAAATGCTTCCACAAAATAGACTTAAGATTCAAAGTTCAATGGTGCAGCTCTACTGACAAAGGAAGAAGCTATGCCTGGAGGTTTATCTGCTTATATAACTGTATGATGACCAGATAGCAAGTATGAAAAATTGGGATGGGGGTGAGGGGTAATAGGAGTCCATATTTAAAAAAAAAAAAGCCCCAAATATTGGGAATGTCCCTATAAAATCGAGATATCTGGCCACCCTGTATAACTGGCATGGGGAGGGCTTGTTTGTCCTGCATGAGGATGGATGTCTGACATTTTCATCTTATGGCACTATTCCAGAAGCCTTTTGGCTCTTCTTGGCTGCTTCCAGGTGAGCTTTAGCCCAATGCATTTTAGACTGAGGTAACAATGTCTGCAGTGGCAGCTGGTTTGCTGTAGGACTGTCTATGTTCTGGCCTTTGGTAGCTGGGGATCAAATTGCTGTAGTGTCTGTGCATCAAGAGGGACTGAGTAGAAGAGAGAGAATTTCTTTTGGTAGCTGTAGCTCTCTTCATGCCCAGGATCTGTGGATGCAGTACTGTATTATGGGTGCACAAACTAGTGGTGGAGCAGAACTACATTTGCACACCATTCAGGTGTGCAAGGGATGAGAGGACCAGCTCCTACCCTTAATATATTATCTGATGGAAGAAACTCCTTGGTGATAGGGTACGGAGATCATCTGTTGGTTAAGCTTAAAAGACTGAGTGGTACTCAAACAGCTGTGTTTGTGGCAAACCTGATTTGGCCAAAACTTTTGCCATGGTTCATAGTGAGAGTGATTACAGAATTCATAAAAGCAAACTGTAAAATAAAACTTAGAACTGCCATTGGTGTGTCTTTTTGAAATATGACCTTGTGTATGACTGTGTAGAGTTGTTCCACATTGTCTGGGTACAGTATTACAGATTTGAAGAGAACACGTTCCTTTTGCCTATCTGTAGGCTGATAAAGAACTTATGGAGGTGAGGTGTGCCACCTAAGTGATAGGCCAGTGGCATTTAGTAGGTAACCATTTGAGGGTGGATGTAGTTCAAGTGCAGCTACTATTGGTGTGGGATGCAGGAGGTTATAACAGGTTGGTCTCTCTTTAATGGCAAAGTTCAAATCTTTTGTCAGATACTGCTGTGTGTGTGTGTGTGGGGGGGGGGGGATTCTTCTCTCAAAGTGGGGCAGAGGGGTCCTTCAATCTTGAGTCAGGAAGAAAGTTGGGGAAGCAAACTAAAAAAAAATAAAAAAACCCAGTACTAAAGTTTGTCAGCTGTGGGGATTACTTGAAAGTTGTGCTGGTATTACAAATATTTAACCAATAAAGTTTCAGCCTGCTGCCATTTAAACCACAAATCATGTTTGTTTGTAATTTTTGTTGTACCCTGAGCAAAAGCAAAATACCAATGCCACAATGTGTGCCTGGGAATATGTAGACAAGGTGCAGTAACTCACTCACAACAGATCTGTGCAGGATGCTAAAATGATATACCTCCCAACACTGAGTAAAGTTCTATGAAACTACTACTAGATAAGCGGAGAAATGCTAGAGCTTTAACTACCACAGATATATTTTTGGTACACAAACTTAGTTAAATATAACCTGTTCTAATATTTTTTAGAAAGTATCTTAGGAAGAAAAAATTGGCAAGACTTAACAGATGGCTAGTGATGCAAAATTTCTTAACTTTAAGAATTCTGGTGGTCCACATTGTTTCTCATCTCCTTCCCTGCTCCCCCCCCCTTTTTTTTTTTTTAAAGCCAGAACTACTTAGTTGCAAACAGCACAATAATCTGACACTTGAAACAAGGGTAGTCACAGAGGGAATAAATTACCCCAGTTTCTCTCTAAGTCTATCATGTAAATAACTGTTCAAGTGGGGATGGAGGAGAGAGTCACTCTCCTGCATTAAAGAAGTGTTATTCAGGAACACACATTAGGTGTCCTAAATATCAAAGCTGATTCTAAAAAATTTCCTCTTGGCACTACTATGCTAAGTCTTTGGTCACACCAATTGACTATTTGGGCACCTGCATGATCCGTTTGAAATGGCCTCACTATCATGCAAGCAAGTAAACAGTGTTGTATCTGCACTTGTATCTACTTCTGGGCCTTCATTTGTGTTTATCATCTAGTATGCTGACAGACACGGAACTTCTAAAATAACTACAAGAGTTCTTTTCTTTTCAATTATGCCCACAAAGGTTTATAGCTTTAAACAAAGCTGTTTATATGGACATTTAAAAATACATTAATAGATTCTTCATGCCTGGAGCCATACTGCCTTGCCTTTATGAACACTAAGTAGTGAGCAAGATCAGTACGTGTAAAGACCTAGAGTGGTGCAGAAAATATTTCAGTAAGTGATGCTTTTCCCTGTGTCAGTAGCCAACAGAAACTGAGCATGGTGCTGGAAGTGCCTTCTTTCATATGAGGCTTAAAGCTAAGGTGTTGACCACTTGCCCTTTTCCACAATCATGGTACTTCTCAGAAGAGTAAGGACCTGTTGCTCCAGTGTCCTAGTCAAACATCAATTTGCGTAACTACGCTCTCTACCTGCCTGAAGTCCCTCTGTAGCTTCAGTTTGAGAAACTATTCACGGTCATAAAATATCGTGGTATTAAAGTTTCATAACAGGTGTTTGCATTTCAGTGGTGATGGAAGTGATCTTGTATAATACAGCTTGTTTTAAAAAGTAAAATGACTTGGGATCTTTCAGAGTAAAAAATGATAGGAATGTAATGTGAAAAGACAGCTTCTGCTTAACCTGATGGGGGAGGGCACAAGGACTTTGTCACTCTAACAATTCCCTTCATGACTCGTGTGACGTGGTGCCTTCGGAGGAGAAATCTAAAAGGAGCTACAGAAATATCTTTGATCCCATTTTTTGTCAAAGAATTTTAAGTTACTGTGATGTATCGCCTGACCACATGATCTTATTTACTGTAAGCCTTCAAATAAAATGAGCATTTTATAACACCAGCAGTTTGAAGAGTTCAATGTCTGGCTGTAAATAGGCTTGAATCCTGCAAAATAGTGGTGTAAACAAGTTGGGCTTACACTGGTTTGAGGTGTGATACTAAACTCTTATCACATTCAACAAATGTCAATTTTTCAGCAAAAGCCAGAGCCTAAAATATTTACAATCGTTTTTAAAAATCACTCTTGACATTAAATGAAAATACTTCCATTATCTGAACTTTGAACTAATGAACAAAATCTCAGACTGCTTACAACTTCTTCCATACACCTTTGCCAGTTACTATTCTGCAAGGATGATTGAGGAACAAATTTTATAAATACAGTTCCTAAATCTGGCCTATAATCTGATATGGCAAAACTATATAGAAGCTATTTTAGTAAGCATACTGGGGGAAATACACAGGTGTATGTTAAAGCAATGCTAGCAAACAAAGATAAATCATCTGATGCACAGTAAAGTATTCCCTTCCCACTCCTCATCTGGGCCTTGATTGCTGTGTTTGTTCCTAACTGAGTACAGAGTAAGGTGTGGACAAATGCGAGAATGAAGCGAGACAGCCATCAGAATTCCAGAGTTGAGATTGGCAGGTTCTGGCTGTCACTAGGTGACAGTGTTCTGCAGAGGAGGGCACCAGCTCCACTTCATTAATGAGACTCCTAGGTGGACTGGTGCATGGGCTGGTAATAGGTGGATGGCCCTTTCAGTGTTGCCAGTTAAGCTAATGGGACAGAAGCAGTTGTGAGGTTTGTTTTTAAATTTAGGGGGGGGGGGGTTAGGAAGAACTAGAATTAGCATGTCTTAGCAGCAGTAAGCTCAAGTATACGTTTATTCTAAGATAAGGTAGAACAGTTTCACTTATGAATGGGGCACAGATGCACAGGATAAAAGTGGCATACATATTCTGTTCCAATAATCAGAGCTGATGCAATATGATCCTGATTCATGCTAAAGCTGAGCATCTAATTAGGAAAGCAACATGATTGCAGCTGGAGCCATAAAGTCCTGCTATTAAAGAGCATTCTCCCTAAGGTCTTTCCCTAGTTCCAACCACCAACTCTGTGGATACTAACATGGCTCTTGTCAACTTGAACAGTAGCTCTTAACCTTTCCAGACTACTGTACCCCTTTCAGGAGTCTGATTTGTCTTGCATACCCCAACTTTCACTTCACTTAAACTACTTGCTTACAAAATCAGAGCTAAAAAGACAAGTGTCACAGTACAATACTACTGAAAAATTGCTTACTTTCTTTTTACCATATTTCAATTTGAATAGAAATATTGTACTTACATTTCAGTGTACAGTATAAAGAAATAATTGTATGAAATTTTAGTTTGTACTGACTTTGCAAGTGCTTTTTTTTGGGTAGCCTATTCTAAAATTAGGAAGTATCTAGATGAGGTGATGTACTCCCTAAAACAGAGTTCTCAAGCAGGGGTCGGGGGCCGTGAGCAGGTTTCGGGGGGGGGGGGGGCTGCCAAACAGGGCCAGCTTTAGACTCACGGTGGCTCAGGACAAAAAGCTAAAGCCCCACCACCAGGGCTTGACAGTGAAGCCTGAGCAACTTAGCTTTGTGGGGGGCCTGGGCAATTGCCCTGCCTGCTACCCCCTAATGTCAGCCCTGGGCTTTTATATGCAGAAAAGTAGTTGTGGCACAGGTGGGCCACGGAGTTTTTATAGCAGTGGGGCGGGGGGGGAGGTTTCAGAAAGAAAAAGGTTGAGAACCCCCACCCTAGAAGACCTCTGTGTACCCCTAGGGCTATGTGGTATCCCTGGTTGAGAATGCTCCAATACTTCCTCCTTCTCACACCAATAACAACCATTTTGTACACCCTTCACCAAACTGTACCTGGAACTTCTTGCTGTAGTAATAGAGCAGAATTAAATAGTTGGCGGAACCTGAAAAAAGGGTGTATGGTTTAGGGTAAATCCTAATACATTGAAAAGCAGATGCTATGAATGCTACTGACAAGCAATGCTAATTCTCTTATTAAATCCGAGACACACTTGCACATCAGAGCTTACACTTTCACAAGCCCTTCAATAAGGAAAGGTACAGAGGGACAGGATGGCTTAAAGGAATGGTGAAAGTCATTATAGCTTTCACCATTCAAGCCTTGTAGATGGGAGGGGAGCAGTAGCTTTGATCTTGACTTTAGTAAGGCTTTTGATACTGTCTCGCATGACCTTCTCACAAATGCACTAGGGAAATACAACCTAGATGGAGCTACTATAAGGTGGGTGCATGACTGGTTGGAAAACTGTTCCCAGAGAGTACTTATCAAGTGGGGTCCCACGAGGATCAGTTCTGGGTTCTGTTCAATATCTTCATAAATGATTTAGATAATGGCAGACAGAGTACACTTACAAAGTTTGTGGATGATACTAAGCTGGGAGGGATTGCAAGTGCTTTGGAGAATAGGATTAAAACTCAAAAGGACCTGGAGAAATGGTCTAAAGTAAATAGGATGAAATTGAATAAGGACAAATGCAAAGTACTCCACTTAGGAAGAAATAATCAGTTGCACACATACAAAATGGGAAATGACTGCCTAGGAAGGAATACTGGAGAAAGGGATGTGAGGGTCATAGTGGCTCACAAGCTAAATATGAGTCAACATTGTAACACTGCTGCAAAAAAGCAAACATTATTCTGGGCTGTATCAGCGAGAGTGTTGTAAGCAAGACAGGAGAAGTAATTCTTCCACTCTACTCCGTGCTGATTAGGCCTCAACTGGAGTACTGTCCAGTTCTGGGTGCCACATTTCAGGAAAGATGTGGACAAACTGGTAAAAGTCCAGAGAAGAGCAACAAAAAGGAGTGAAGGTCTAGAAAACATGACCTATGAGGGAAGACTGAAAAAATTTGGGTTTTAGTCTGGAGAAGAGAAGACTGAGGGGACACGTGCTAACAGTTTTCAAGTACATAAAAGGCTGTTACAAGGCAGGGGGAGAAAAATTGTTCTAACTTCTCAGGATAGGACAAGAAGCAATGGGCTTAAATTGCACCAAGCGTGGTTTAGGTTGGACATTAGGAAAAACTTCTTAACTGTCAGCGTGGTTAAATACTGGAATAAATTGCCTTGGGAGGTTGTGAATCTTCATCATCTGAGATTTTTAAGAGCAAGTTAGGCAAACACCTGTCAGGGATGGTCTAGATAATA